CCACTGTCCCTCCTCTGGACATGTCCAAACCACTGTCCCTCCTCTGGACATGTCCAAACCATCTCAGTGTGTCCTCTCTAACTTTATCTCCCAGTTGTTCAACCTGTGCTGTACATCTGATGATCTCAGTCCTGATCTTCTCCGTCCTTGTCTCTCCTAAGGAGAACCTCAACATCTTCATTTCTGCCACTTCCAGTTCTGTCTCCTGTCTTTTTGTCCATGTCTCTGTCTCCAGACCATACAACATAGCTGGTCTCACCACTGTCTCGTAAACTTTTCCTTTGACCTTTGCTGACACCCTTTTGTCTCAAATCACTCCTGAAACTTTTCTCCATCACTCCATCCTGCCTGGACTCTCTTCTTCTCCTCTTCACCACACTCCCCATGTTCCTGGACAGTGGACCCCAAGTCCTTGAAGTCCTGCACCTTTGTGACCTCTGCTCCTTGTAGCCTCACTGTTCCACCTCCTCCCTCTCATTCACACATGGACTCTGTCTTACTACGGCTGACTTTCATTCCTCTTCTTTCAAGTGCATACCTCCACCTCTCCAAGTTCTCTTCCACCTGTTCCCTGTTCTCACCACAGTCAGTCGGTCCATCACCAGAGCAAACAAGAAGGGGCTCAGAGCAGATCCTTGATGCACTCCCACCTCCACCTTGAAGCTATCAGTCACTCCTTCAGCACATCTCACCACTGTCCTGCTGTCCTCATACATGTCCTGCTGTCCTCATACATGTCCTGCTGTCCTCATACATGTCCTGTACCAGTCTAACATGTTTCTCTGCCACTCCAGATCTCCTCATGTAACACCACACCTCCTCCCTCGGCACCCTGTCAGATGTTTTTTCTAAATCCACAAAGACACAATGGAGTTCTTTCTGACCCTCTCTGTTCTTCTCCATCAGCATCCTCAAAACAAAGATGGATCTGTGGTGCTCTTTCTTGACATGAAACCATCCTGCTGCTCACAGATAGTCACCTCTCGTCTAAGTCTCCTTCTCAGCATCATGTCAGCCAGCTCTCTACCTTTGTCTGTCATTGTCCCCACATTTAGAGTTGCAACCCTCAGTCCTACATTCTTCACTTTCCTCTTCTCCTCTGTCTCATGACATGTTTCCCTCCTCTTGGTCTTCAACTAACAGAAGCATCAATTTCCGCAGGCACCTTATTTGTCAACAGCACCGGTGGCGGTCATTGTTAACTCGGGCCTCCACCGATCTGGTGTGGTTTCACTTTGATGAACTCGCACTATGGTTTACCAGTTTTCCATGTACTTAATGGGTAAATATTGGGTAAATAACAGGTACATATTTACTTGGAAAACGTTATGCTGGTATGTACCAGGTACATATCTGATGAGTATCCAGTTACATGCCAGGTATTTACCTGGTGCATACAGGGTTTTTACTAGCTTTGTACTGGGTACTTATAGAGTACATGCTTGGTAAATACCAGGTTTGTCCATACTTGATAATCTATATATTTGTGTGTAACAGGTTCATATCCAGTAAGTACTTGAGTACACTAAGTACTTACTTGGTAAATACAATGTTTGTACTGGGTACTTACAGAGTACATATTTAGCAAGTACCTGGTACATAATTGATGAGTGCTCGGTTACATACCAGGTACTTATCTGGTACAGACAGAGTTTTACTAGTTTTGCACTGGATAATTTTAGAGCACATGCTAGTTAAATACTAGGTTTACCCATACTTGATAACCTACTCTTCTAATTACTAGAGTACATATTTAGTAAGTATCAGGTACATACGTGGTATTTAACGAGTAGGCACTTAGTAAGTACAAGGTCTATACCCAATAAATGCCAGGTACATACCCACACTGTAAATTGTTTGTTGATATACCAGGTGTTATATACACGGTTTGTATTTGATACATACTAACATGTTTGCCAGGTACATACCTGATAATTACAGGGTACATTCTTGGCAAGTAACATGTACATACCTGAAAAATACAATAAGCCTCAGGTTCATTAAAGTGATGCGTGTTACCGATCCAACCTTAAAAGTTACTTTTGTTTCTACAGATTGCTCGTAAGGTTGGCTGTTGGAGAACCGATGAAGATGAAATGCTGACGTGCCTGAAGATGAGCGACCCGGTCGGTTTGACCATGGCGGGGAAAATTGACATCATGCTTATTTTAGGCAAAGGTGAAGACACAAACACACCCAGCTTTGTACGCAAACCTAACACTGGATCGGACACAAACCTGAGTGATCTGATCCTCCTGCACAGAGACGGTTTGGTGTTTAGTCAGAACAGCCCAGATGATCAGTTCTTATGGGTTCTGCTCAGGTGTTGTCATGGACATGCTCGAGCTCTCCCCAGTGGTTGATGGGGATTTCATACCTGATGAGCCCAGTAACCTGTTTCACAACGCGGCTCGGTTTGATTACCTGGCAGGTGTGAACAGCATGGACGGACACATATTTGCAGGAGTCGATGTTCCATCCATCAACAGCAAAAAAGCCAATACCACAGCGTAAGTCCCGAAACATCACAACAATTATTTACAAACTTTAATATCAGGTTCTGGAAAACAAAAATAGATGTTTGGGTCAATGAAGAAAAATATTTAATTGAATTAAAACATTAAACTGGTTTGTGGTCCCACAAGGCTCCTTACTGGGACCAGTAATGTTTGTTTTGCAGCTCACATTAATATATAGAATGGTTTAATTTAAAAATAATGTTTCAGGGGTTCCCATTACGTTGACCGTGGACTGCGTATCAACAGGAGAAAACAGCTCTTTTGAAACCCTTACTGTTATTGTTCATGTTTAGCATTATTTGTTGTCCATATTCTCTCGCTCTACTCTACTGGACGCATTTAAAGCATCCATAAAACCAACAACAGATAAAACAAAGTGTTTCTATCAGACACCTGCTGAACTGGGACGGCTCTCCAACAGGAGGTAGCTGATCTGTGCGTGCCTCCGTTTGACAGTGAGTGAGTTGATAAGGAGCTCGTGTGACATCTGTCTTAACCTGTAAGAGTGGCCTTGTCCAAAACGAGTAACGTGGAACAGCATTACAAGAAGGTGCATGAACACTGCAAGACGGATGTCTCTGCTGAAACCGCTCTGAGCCCAGAAAGTTCAGGAGCTGTAAAACCTGGACCAACACCAGAGGTACGACTGCCCCAGCAGCATCCGGCCAGCTCGACGAACACAAAATATCAACGATGGTGACGTTCTGAAAGAAGCTTTGATCGAGGCTGCACACGAACTTTTTGATTTTAAGAATGAAAGGGAGCTCACACGTGCAGTACCACACACGCACGCACGCACACACGCATGCACACACGCATGCACGCACAGTGACGTGTGATAGAAATAGAGTTGTGTGAGAAAGAGTTTGTCTTGATTAGGCGTTGAAGGACTGTGATGGTCCTCTGAGCCTGCAGTCTGGACCAGTGAGGACCTGAACCCTTACAGACCTGCAGATGACCCCCACCCTGCTGTCTAGTTTGGTTCAAGGTTTGACATTTTGATTTGTGTGGTATTTAAAATAACTGTGTCGTTTTTTGAGATTTGTAATTATGCAGGACGGGACAGAGGCCGTTTGTTTGAACCCCAGGTTCTCCTGTTTCTTTGTCAGGAGCCAGGTTCGGTTTTTGTTCAATTTTTCTTTGGCAGGTCAGTCTGGGTGTTTTAGGTAGACCGTTTACTGAAGTCTGTAAAGGTGTTAGCATGCCACAGTGTATTCTGCTTGATGAGCTGACCTCTGTGGAGGTGACGGGTGAGGAGGCGCTCAGATTATGGCCCACACTTTGCCTGGGACTGGAAATGTAACAACGTGCTCGATACGGAGACGAGACACGAAGATCTCTGCAAACTGGCAACTTCAAAACTAGATGTTGGTTCATAAAAGTTTGGGCACCCCTGGTGTATTAAACTTTTCTTTTCCACGGTGGAATGAAGACAAAACATAGAACTTAAATTATTTTAAAAGGGTAGCATGATGGTAATGGACTGTTGCCTCACGGCAAGAAGGTCCTGGGTTCAGTCTCCAGTTTGGACCCGGGTCCTCTCTGCATGGAGTTGGCTTGTTCTCCTTGTGGGTTTACTCCAGGTGCTCCAGTTTGTTCAGTTCAATTCAACCTTTATTTCTACAGGTTAGGCTCATTGAGCCTCGAGGACTCGTTTAAAGAGAGACCTGATGTTAACAAAGAACACACATGACAACAGTGGACAAACATAAAAAAACATAAAATAAAAATAAATACAAGAAATTACATAAACAAAGAAAACTGCTCCATTATAAAGGGATGTAAAATACTAAAACCAGGAACATGTCTGTGTTGGTTTTTACCATGAGCTTAGCTGGAGGTTTCCTGCTACAGTCCAAAAGTCTGCATGTTAAGTGACCTTCAGACCCAGGACGACCTTGAAACAGAGGTCTGTGATGTCAGTGGGAAAGGTTAGGGTAGGGCAGTCCTTCTCAAATAGTGGGGCGAGCCCCCCTTTGGGGCGTGTGTGACCCTGGGGAACATGCTTCTTTATGCCGCAGGGAGTTTTTACTTTGTTCACATTCTTATTTTGTCATGGTGCGTTCAGGCGACTGCTTGGACCAAAACTCTCAGGCCGACTAATAATAAAGTTAAGAACAAACATGGCTGCCTTGTCGTTTGGGGAGCCGTGCTTGAACGTGTTGCTCCCCTCTGCTGCTGAGACGATAATGAATGACTCCGACTCCTCCGCTGCTGTTTTTATGACGCTCTGGATGCTTGTCGCCCGCAGCACGCATGCTCACTGTTTTTAAGTCTCGCTTAAAAACCATTTTTATTCCTTGACTTTTGACACCGTGCAATTTGTTTTTAACCTGTCTGTATTCAGCGGGAGCCATTTAGGTTTTACCTTCTGCTATTCATATCTATATTTTTATTTGACTTTATTTTATGTTCTGCCGTGCACTTTGCTTGTTTCTTGCACAGCGCTTTGGTTGGTCTTGTTGCCGTTTTAAGTGCTCTATAAATAAAGTGGTATGTAATCTACACAGATTCAAACAGTCATAATTTTTGGCAAAGTTTTTGTTCGTGTGGCCAAACAGCTCAATCACGCCATCAAACTTTACTCCAGAAAACATTTGTCTCTTCCATGTGAGCTGCTGCAGCTTTCAGTCCATCTCAAGGGTTTTGGAGCTTCTTCCTTGGTCCTCTCAGCCCACGCTGATGAAAAAGTGTCTTCACCGTGGACGGGGACTGTGGTGTTCCAGCAGGGTCCAGTTCATGGCAGCATCGAGCCTGGGTGGTTCCAGGGTTGTTCCATCGGAACCAGTTTCTCTTCATCTGATGGGGCAGATAAATGTTGGTTGATCCAGTGAGCACTCTCAAATAGATCTTTGTTCCTGCTGGCAAACAGAGACCAGCTGCAGTCGATCACTACGAGACGTCAGTGACCTCATCAAGTTAAATGACTTTCTAGAACTTTCAGCAACACTTATTAACAGATTTAGATGAACGGCTGAAGATATTTGACACTGGATTAGAACAAATAGCAATAAATTCAAACTTATTTTTAGAATTTGTTGAAGTTGTATGTCGAGTCATTCCACCTTGGATAAAGAAATAGAATCCAGGCAGCAGACCAGATGATCTCGTCACGAAGCGGTGGTTGAAGATGTTTGACCCAGTGCTGTTTCCTCCTCAGGGAGCAAGTCAAAGGTCTTCTGGCTGGTTTGACTAAAGAAAAAGGGAACGCTGCTATCCCCTCGGCCTTCAGCGTTTACTCGGTTCACTGGGGTTTGGCTCCAGATCCAGCCATAGTGAAGAAGACGGTGGCCGACATCGAGACAGACTTCCTGTTCCTGGTCCCAACCCAGACCGCCCTCCAGCTCCACGCCAACAACTCTAGGTTAGCTGTGCTCCATCACACACACACTTCATATAAATTAATTAGAAGAAATCTGGTCAAATATTCAGTTTTTAATATTTTTATCAGATCAGATTATATTTTTTAATGTCTCAGAGTGAAGCCATTATTGCAGAAGGTTTACATTAAGTTAGATTATCGGTTTCAATAGTCGCAGTTTAAACTTGGATTATATTTTATTTTTCCTGTTTGGACTCTAACATTGATTGTAATTGATCTGTGGTGCTTTTTGTCCCTCAGTGGCGCCCATACATACTCGTACCTGTTCAACATGAAGACTCGGATTCCCGGGTTCCCCCGCTGGGTGGAGGCGGAGCACGCCGAGGACCTGCAGTACCTGTTCGGTAAACCGTTCTCCACCCCGCTCGTCTACTTCCCCCGACACAGAGACCTGTCTGGCTACATGATCGCCTACTGGACCAACTTCGCCAAGACTGGGTAAACTCCCAAGATGCATTGCACACACAGACAACAGCACATGTTGAACTCTGCCAGACAGGACCAGCAAATTCTGGACTTTACTGGTTTATGGACCAGTTGATTCTAATTATCTTGCTGGTCAACTGGGTTAGAAAATTATTTGTTATTCTTTTTTGAAAGCCTGAACTGGTCTGAAAAACAAAACAGAACTGGTTTAATTGGTCTGAAAACAAGAGAACTGTTCTGAACACAAGAGAACTGGTCTGATCTGGCCTGAAAACAAAAGAGAACCGGTTTAACTGGTCTGAAAACAAGAGAACTGGTTCGAAGTTCGAACACAAGAGAACTGGTCTGATCTGGTCTGAAAACAAAAGATAACTGGTTTAACTGGTCTGAAAACAAGAGAACTGGTCTAAACTGGTCTGAAAACAAGAGAACTGGTCTGAAAACAAAAGAGAACTGGTCTAAAAACAAGAGAACTGGTCTGAACTGGTCTGAAAACAAAATAGAACTGGTTTGACACAAGATAACTGGTTTAAACTGGTCTGGAAGCAAAAGAGAACTGGTCTAAACTGGTCTGAAAACGAGAACTGGTCTGAACTGATCTGAACTGATCTGAAAACAAAAAGAACTGGTCTAAATTGACCTGAAAACAAAAGAGAACTGGTTTAAACTGGTCTGAAGAGAACTGGTTTACTTTGTACTTGTTTATTATTGTGACTTTTTCATTTATCACCTAGTTTTAAATTTTTTTCATACTTCTTAAATGCTGACATAAGCGGACTCCAGGAACTGTTTCGGTCCTCATGCATGTCATGTTCTGGAATGATCATAAACTCTTCGACTCTTTAGTGACCCTAACAGAGGAGACAGCAGAGTCCCAGTTCCTTGGCCACTTTTCACCAAAAACCACCGACCATACCTGATCATCAACCACGACATGAGCAAGTACTCCGTCAGGTAGGATACTGTTTCCTGATTCTGCTGAACTGAACGTACATCAGTCCTTGACTGATACAGTTTTATTTATTTAAAACGTATAAATAAAAAATGATTCTGGTTTGCGTCCTCAGCTATGACCTGAGGTCGTACTACGTGAACTACTGGACTGAAACCTACAGCCGCCTGCCAACAGCAAAGACGGCAGAGGAAGACGAGCATCTCTGACTACCTGTCTGTTGTTCAGTCAGAAGACCAGATGTTTATGTTCTTGTCCATTAAATGAAGCAAATCTTCTCTCTCGACTGCTTACTTTTCTTTTCGGCAGAACTTTAGCTCAACACAGAATGAATTGGGACTTACATTTGTAATCTAAGCAGTGACAGTCAGACTCTTATTCTGAAAAGAACCATTGGCTTCATTTTGGATCTCCAAGTAGAACCTCTTCCTGTATGCCTGGACCTAAAAGGTTCTCCTCTTGGGTTGAACTTTTGTTAGACATATAAAATGTGGCACCTTTTTGTTTAACTTAAGTTATCTGCTGAGGGTGACAATGTTTTTGCCGGTGGTGTGGCTCTTGACAAAATTTCAAACCACTGGATGAAATTTATTGAAACCTGCTTGAAGTATATGAACAAATATCTTGTACATTTTTAAAGTTTATTCAATATGTCTGTCGCATCCATCCATCCATCCATCCATCCATCCATCCATCCATCCATCCAT